TTGGGGGGGTTGGAGTCTCAGTCTGTCACCCAAACTGGAATGCAGTGGCCGCTCCAGGCCACCGCATCCTCGACCTGCTGGGCTCCCGCAATCCTTCCCCCTCAGCCTTCCGAGTAGTGGAAACTACAGGCGCACGCTACCACGCCCGGCTAATTTTTTGATTTATTGTAGAGATGAGGTCTCGCCAAGTTGCCCAGGCGGATCTCGAACCCGCAGGCTCAGGCAATCCACTCACCTCAGCCTCCCAAAGGCGTGGGATTACAGGCTAAGCCACCGAGCCTGGCTTACTTTCTACTTTAAATTGGACTCATCAAAGGAATTTTTCATTTGTTTTTCTTCCATGTCAGAATTAGAACTGCTCTGACTATAAAATAAGTATTAATAACTTTCCCTGGGGGTTATGGAAAGGAAAGGGGGGTTCCTCGGCTGACAGCAGTATCTAGTGAGCTTTCCTCCTACTTCCAAAGAAAACTAGCCTGGTTTAGATGGTGATAATTTCCCAAGAGAGAGATCATGTCTTGGGTTTCTTTTAGGTCCTAATAACAGTGTCCAACATTCAGGGGTGCTGATCAACTCATCGTACTGGTGGACAGAGCAGATGTGGGTGAGAGGGGAAGCAGCACCCACCAAGATACCAAAAAAAAAAAAGCACCTGAAATTACCAATTTAGAATATAAAATGATGTTTATGCCCAAAATAACAAAATTTCTTATTCACACATCCCACCTATGACATTCATCAGAGTCTTTACCTATGGGCTGGATGTCATCTTTTCCACTCCTAGTAGTTTACAGATTTTTTACTTTGAAGTAGAAGAGAGAGAGAGAAAAAAAAAAAGACCCATAGCTGCTCTAAAAGGAATGAGGAAGTGAGAGCTCCCCAGTGTCTGGCTGGCTCTGTCTCAGTGACAGCCCATGATGCTCTTTCCGGTCTCAGTGATATTCTGAATTTCCACCTGCCCGCCTCCTCCTGCTTATAATGCAGAACATGTGAAGTTAGAGCAGTTCAGTCTCTCTCTGCCGGTGGACTGTCAGGAGCAGAGTGTCATGCTGTTTTTCCCATTTTCCACAGTTCACTGGAGGTAAAAGAACCCTGGCTGGAGACCCTCCGAGGGTAAGTACTATACATTCATATGACTAGAAATTATAGGCTGTCTAGAGACCACGGGTCATTAAGATCATATGCAACAGAAAACAGCTGTACGGCGGAATAACCTCCAGTGTTACGAAGTCTCAGAGCGTGGACAGCTTTGCTTCAGCGTGAAGCCTGCACTTCTTTTATGTAGGAATTCTGTAAAAGTTATCTTTGTGTTGTGTTTATGATAAGTAGCATCCTGGGAATCTGATTTTTTTTTCCTTTTTGGGTTACATGAGAAAATTCATGCAAAACACTTAATACGGTAGCTGACACATAGTGAGCTCACCAAAAACATGTTAGTTGTTATTGTATTGTATTCAGATTATCTTTTTATGGGAATGTAATAAATTAATAACAAAGTTTAGAACGGTAAAGATACTCATTTTAAATAATTTTTAAGTAAGTGTGTTTGGATGCTATTCATAATGGCATAAGACATCTGGTAACATAGAACAGACTTTAAATGAAAACACTTTTCTGTGCGACAGTTTCAAACTCTGTGTTTTGGCAAAGTAGCGCTGAAAGTGGCCAACATATTATGTGTGTCCTCCTAACTCTTCCATGTGACCTGTTGTAGGCAGAGCCGAAGCCACCCAGGAGTGGAATTCGTCCCTGGACAGTCAGCCCGAGTGCTAATGAAGTTGAGAAGCAGTCACAATGCTGTGCGTGCCCCTCTTATATCTGTCAATTTGTATTTTCTAAAGGCAACAGCCAAGAGATGTTTATCTAATTTTATTTTTTCTCTTTTAGTCAAAAACACTAAGTGCTGATAATATGGAGACGCTAATCGAATGCCAATCAGAGGTAAGAAAGCAATTTTTCAACTTATCTGCACTGTGAGAAGATGGAAAGCTTTATTTGGATTGTTGAGTTATCAGAGTAAAAAAACTTCATAAATGCCGCAAATTAAACACATTAATTGGGTTCTTATATTATGACAGTCAAGACTTGAATGCTGATTCCAGAACCTGGAAAAAAATCAGTGCACTCTCTTGACTTAATTTTTAATATGAATACAGTGCTGTATGTGTATTTTTAAAGGAAAGATTAGGTAGTTTAATTCAGTCATTTTTAACTGAAATATATTTTTAGGGTGATATCAAGGAACATCCCCTGTTGGCATCATGTGAGAGTGAAGATAGCATTTGCCAGCTAATTGGTGAGTTTTGAAAACATACTGATCTTTTATGTAAGTGCTAACAAACAGTGTTCTTGGTTTGCAAAACCACAGTGCTTTTACTCTACTAGGAATTTTTTTTGTATAAGTGTTCTGTGAAAGACCGCAGAACATTAACCCATAGATGGCAGGCACTCTCCAAGTCACTAGAGAGCAGCAAATACTCAGACAGGAGAGATGGTCTCCATAACCAGTCTCCCAGTTCTACCAGTGGTTTTCCTGGCCGTTTATGATTTAACAATTAAAGCGTGGATACATTTGAAAAACACATGGTACCTTTCTGTTTTCTTCCTTCTCTAATGGAGAATGCATCTAAGAACATATGAAGCAATCGTTGCTGATCTCAAATCCCAGAGAACCCACCATTTGCTCTTAAATTTTCTCATGAGGCATTTCATGACAACATAACCCTGACCCAGTTCTCCTGAACTATCAGAATAGGCCTCTTCTCTCTCATCCTGCTTCAAACTCGCCAGTATAAAATGTGCCGGAACATATGCCAATGCATTTAGAAAATATGGCCTTTAAAATTGGGGCAGGGGGAGGAAGAAAGGAAAAGAAGGAAGGAAACATTTGAGTTGCAATATCCCTTGCACACATGTCTTCTGCATTTTGGAAGGATAGACTATCTTGGTAACGTTTCATTAATAATTCCCAACAGCCAAGTGCAGGTTCCAACCTTCCTGCCCCGATTTGGGTTTGGTCTTATGCAACAACCTGGAAAACCCAGGTGACTGCGGAAGGACTGGATGATGTAGCTCCCTCTAGTGGCTGCTTAGTGCTAGCATGGCTGCAGAGGGCTAATGGCCAAGCCCAAGTGCCTTCAAAAGCCTCTTGAGTAAGTCACTTCCTCTCCTTATAAGTTTCATTTTCTTCACCAAAGGAGGAAATTAACATCGCCTGTTTCGTATCAAAAATATACCCTATAGTCATTAAGACCGATAGGTTAAGTAGATTGTTTATGACCTGCACAGTTGGGTTTTGCTCATTTTCTGCAGCAAACAGAAGGAATCGGTACAAACAGGAAAGGCGGAGACTTTGAGGAAGCTTAGTGTTGATGTTTAGGGGCTGGTTGCCCTGGTAACAGTGTGGTTGTTTTGGGGTTAGTTTTTCTAGATTAAGGTTCTCGCCCTTTGCTTTCTCGGGTTTTCAAAATCATTTCCCCCCACATGGCATACTATCGATGACATTATGTGGCCAACAACATCCATTTTCTTACCTGGATCTTTGCTATGAACACTGTAATCTAATTTTTCTCTTTGCCTCGTTGTCTTGGCTATAGAGGTTAAGAAGAGGAAGAAGGTTCTGTCCTGGCCCTCTCTCCTGAGAAGGCTTTCCCCTTCATCAGATTTTCCCGGGGCTTTGGAGCCAGAATTGAAAGCATCACTCTTTGATCAGCCCTTGTCAATCATCTGTGGTGAGAGCGGCACACTTCCCAGACCCATTCAGGTAAGTGCACATTCACTCGCAAACCTACTTCAGTTTTCTGTTGGATGCAAAAAATCCTTGGGAAATCTGAATGTCATTTTCTTACTAAACTTGTAGGGGCTGATCTTTTGTACTCCCATACCTTAAGTTCAGAAGCATACCTGACTAGTTGCATTCCAGAAATTAATTGTATTTGCCAATGAGCTCGGAGTGGCAGTTAAGAATGCTGGAGATCTATAGCTTCTAAAAGTCAACAGGCAGAGATGGATTATAGCGTATGCAATCAGAAATTCAAGATTTACATGGAAATATTTGAAAGGGGGAGGCCCAAAGTGATTTTAGGACATGAAAATTAGAGCATTCACAATTTGCATCTTCAATAAACATGCAGGACTGAACAAGACAGTTAATAGCATTGGGCTGAAAACAGGAACTAGCATGAACACTCCTGTCAAGACTATCTTTGTATAATTAAAGAGAACTAACTTATGACACATCAAGCTAGGGACTGTTCTGTACATTGTTTTAATTCCCTTTCTGCAACCTAAACATAGATGTTCACATATTCATAGCAGCAAAGTGTGTCTTCAAACCCAGGGTGACCATTTCCTGTTCCTATACTGGCTTTCTGTAGGACATTCTCACTATCCTGTGCCTGAAAGGCCCTTCCACCGAAGGGATCTTCCGGAAAGCAGCCAATGAGAAAGCCCGCAAAGAGCTGAAGGAGGAGCTCAACTCTGGGGGCGCTGTGGACCTGGACAGTCTCCCCGTGCACCTCCTTGCTGCGGTCTTCAAGGTGAGTTCACTGTCTCTGTGCCAAATAACCTGCCAGTTGACTCTGACCCCTCATTCTCAGGAAACAAGAAATGGGCTCCTCTCCCTCAAGGCAAAGGACACTGGTCTTGGAGTCCAATGTTTTTACTTAAACCCTATATTTATGTATATAAGCTTCTACAACCCTAAATTCCATCAGAAAGTGATGCATTCGGTTCCCTAAAAACTTTGATTAAGAAAAAGGCAATTTGACTGTCCCATGGCAGAGTCCATACCCCAAAATCCCAGGGGTCTCTCAGAACACACCCACCTAGGGATAGTGTCTCTCACTCTACTTGTTGTTAGGAAGTTGCTGAGAGACCAAGCATGTTGGAGAGAGGTTTCCTCAGATGAAACAAATGCAGGAATGAGGGGTCCCAGCCCATGATGGGATAAGCATGGAACATCCTGAGATGGAACAAAAGCAAGGGAGGTGAAGACATGGGCACATGGGGTATTACAGATAGGCCAACGGTCTGCCTCTCCTCCCCCAGGACTTCCTCAGAAGCATCCCCCTGAAGCTACTTTCCAGTGACCTCTTTGAGGAGTGGATGGGCGCTCTGGGGACACAGGACGAGGAGGACAGAATCGAAGCCCTGAAACAGTAAGTCATCAAAGCAATTCCGCCGTATCCTTTATATCACAGTCGAAGTGCTTCGTGATTCCTGATTCATGAGAATTGTGACATTGAGGGAATCCAAGTGGAATTGCTCCTCCATTCCCAGAACAAAAACCATGGGACGCCCTGGATGTTTAAAAGAGGTCATTTTAACCAAATGAGATATGTCTTCAAAAAGCAAAAAGTGAACTTCAGTACTCACAAATCCCAAGAGGTGAGAGTCTAAAAATATAAGAAATTCAAAAAGGTGTGAGGTAAAAATCACACTTGAAAGCTTTAACACAGGCTAACCAACAAAGTGTAGGAACTTGGGGTTCCCTTTAACGTAGACTGATTGGTGTTGTGCAGGACCTCAGTTCTCCTATAAAGCCCCCCTCAGAGTACAGTCGAGAAAACTGAAAGGAATTCTTTTGTTCACAAAATTTCATAGCATATTTCATAGTCTTACAATTAGCTAAAATGAAAACCATATAAGAACAAATTCCAGTGAGAGTAAAATAACTGCGTGTGTAAAGGACAATGTGACCTGCAAATGACTGCATAATTCTAAGTGCTGAGCTTTAAAACATCAGCACCTTTGCCATACACTATGAAAGACTATCTATATAATGATCCCACATTGCTAACTATTTTCAACAAAATATTTGTAGAATTGAAGACATTAGCGTGTCTGGGTCAAAATGAAAATCCTAAGATTATCATGTTTCTACCTAGCCACAAAGGTAGATACCATCTTCTGAGAAGTGAAAATGATCAATGTATTGGAATCACCATTTTATTGTATTGGAGTCACTACTTTATTTTTTGAAAAAGAGAAACGATAAAAAGTCTAATTTTTTGCTGGGTACGGTGGCTCAAGCCTGTAATCCCAGCATTTTGGGAGGCGGAGGCTGGGGTCCAGGTGTTCGAGACCAGCCTGGGCAACATGGAAAGACCTCGTCTCTACAATGAATCAAAAAGAATTAGCTGGGTGTGGTGGTGCCTGCCAGTAGTTCCAGCTACTTGGAAGGATGAAGTGGAAGAATATCAATTCAGGTCAAGGCTGCAGTGGCCATGAGCATGCCACTGTACTCCAGTTTGGGCTACAGAGTGAGATTCCAACTAAAAAAAAAAAAAAAGTCTGTCTGAGTGCCATGGCTCAAGCCTGTAATCCCAGGACTTTGAGAGGCTGAGGCGAGTGGATTGCCTGAGCCCAGGGATTCAAAACCAGTCTGGGCAACTTGGCGAGACTTCATCTCTATAATAAATCAAAAATTTAGCCGGGCGTGGTAGCACGCGCCTGTAGCTCCGGCTACTTGGAAGGCTGAGGCGGAAGGATCCCTGGAACCCAGCAGGTTGATGCTGGGGTGACCGTGACCGTGAGTGTGCCACTGTACTCCAGCCTGGGTGATGGAGGGAGACTCCAACTCAAAAAAAAAAAAGTCTAATTTATTATCGTTAGTAACAATTGCTGTTTAAGTACAGCCTTATTAAAAGCATGCCCTTATCAACTAATTTATTTCCCATAAAGATTTCTCAGAATCATACACAGTAGTGTCATCTTTGTTTGGTGATTCCAGTTTGTTTGGCGTTTTGTTTGTTTGTTTTTTGTTTTTAAGACAAGAAAACCAGTCTAGCAGTGTTAGAAACAGAAAGAAATTCTACATGGCTAAATGGTTAACAAAATTATTTTCAAAATGCAAAAGTAATCTATGGTATTTAATGTAGGTTCACCTTCATAATTTAAGCTCTGTATAAATAATAAAGGGCTGTGTAATTGTCTCAGTTATAAAGACTGGTTTCTTAGCTCTTCGAGACCTTGCGGTTAACCAATCTCATTCTGTGTCGGCTGCCGCTGGAAGTGTCTGAATGAGCATTTCGCAATATTACTTGTGAAAAATGCACCTTCCTCATTTTAAAGGAAATCTGGTTTCAGCAGAAACTTTCCAGTTTGCCACACTAAAGATCATTGGCCATTTTAAAAACGAACATCCCTTGACTTTATTCCAGGGTTGCAGATCAGCTGCCCCAGCCCAATCTCCGGCTGCTCCAGCCCTTGCTCTACGTGCTGCACCTGGTCAGCAAGAACGCCGAGGTCAGCAAGATGGACTCCAGCAATCTGGCCATCTGCGTTGGACCCAACATGCTCACCCGGGAGGGCAGCCAAGACTTGTCACTCGAAGTGCAGAAAGACCTGAACAATAAGGTTCGCTCTGCTGACTTATGAGACATTCCCAATTTGTATGATCTCACCCTCTGGTTGCAAAAGTCAAGCCGTGAAATGCTTCTGATATCACTGTGACTCAGAATCACAGTGAAAATATAAAGTGCCGAATGCTTCTGTCATGGCCCCACTCTCTTAGCTACATGCATTTGATGAAACTGAACAAATCTATGTCCTCTGCTGTCCTATGACAGACAGAGATAAGTGCTGCAGACTTTCATATCACTGTCTCCAAATATAGAAAAGTTCTTTTTTTTTTACTTGTGTCTGTTGGTCTAACTAACAATTTTGGAAACTACTTACTTCAATGAAAATTTTGGATACTTTAAAGTAGCATTTTCTTAAGTTCTTAAATTAAAAATGCAAGTCTCAAAAACACCAAACAGCTAAGTTTAATGTATATGATTGTTACCAAATTTCTGTCTGCTCTTTCAGACACATAAAGATCTCTAACTCCCATTCAGGCACCTGTCTGATAGGTGACCCCCATTCCCTCCTGCCTCCCTAAAAAGAATTGTCTTTAAGCTGACAACCTGCTTTCTTTTCTTCACAGGTTAAGATGCTGGTGGAATTCCTCATTGATAACTGCTTTGAAATATTCGGAGAGAACATTCCAGTGCATTCCAGTAGCACTTCGGATGACTCCCTGGAACACACAGACAGTTCAGGTATGGAATGCGCTGTTGATCAGTTGTGATTGTGGGGAAAAGTTCATGCCAGTCTGCCAGTCCGTGCCAGTAATGGAAAGCATCTCTGGTATCTGAAGCAGCTGTTACCTTCACAAATCACTAAGTCAGACTAGAATCAAGTCCATAAGGAGGTCGTTAAAACATAAAAACCTTGCTCTCGAATTGTCCTGCAATGTCTTCTTGAGCTACCACAGACATTCTTTCCACTTCAGTAGGACACTTTCCCCCTCCTATTCCAAATCACAAATAACTGCTAATTTTACCAAATAATCTCTAGCTGCAGAGTTGGGGTAAGAAAATTTTGTTTCCGCATAATGGAATATGAGTTCATTAAAATGGAAATGAGTGCAATAAAAGAGCCAAAGAAAGCAGGATTCAGACTACAACATAGCTGTCATGTGCTGTGTTGTTGTTCCCACTGCTCAGATAAAGTGGTTTCCTAACTGTACCTGTCTGCTACACTCCTGTAGCAGCCAGGGACACTTGGTCTCATACATGTTGAAAGGAGAAAAAAAAAAGAGTCAAGAGTCAAAGGATCAATGTCTAAACTTAAGATCAAGAAATCTTAAATACTGTCTTCTCTTTTCTCATTTTCTCTCTCTCTCTTTGTCTTTCTTTCCTTCCTCTCGCCTTTACTCGTTTGCTTTTCCTACTTTTCATCTCAAAATGAATTTGGAAAGAAACAAAATTTTAATGTGGTAAATTTCTTGTCATATCAAGCCCCAACATAATCCCACCAAATTACCTAGTGCCACCATTGGTATGAGTAGAGTGAACTGTAGGAAGGTTTATTTCTGAAAGAACCAGAACAAAACATTCCACTGCTTCTTGACTTCCCCTAGACATATCGACCCTGCAGAATGACTCAGCCTACGACAGCAACGATCCTGATGTTGATTCCAGCAGCGGCAGCGGCGTCACCTCTTCCAGCGGGCAGTCCCGGTTGCCCACAGCCATAGTCACTGGTTTGGACAACAGGGGGTCACGGGACGCCTGTGCCTGTGAGTTCAGCCCGGAACCCATTGTGAGCACCGTTGCCAGGCTGAAAAGCTCCCTCCATCAGTCAGACAGGAGGTACTCAGAGCCTGGCCTGTCATCCTCACAGGAGTACCTGGTGAACCGAGTAAACCGTCAGTCACTAACAAAAAGTGAGGGTGGCTTCACCATGTCCTGCGCAGGCTCTCATTTAGAAAGTGAGGAAGCCGAAGACCCATTTTTAGAGGAGGCCTTCCCTGCAGTGCAAGGCAAAACCAAGAGACCGGTGGACCTGAAGATCAAGAGCTTGGGCCAGGCTTCGGGGCTCCCACGGGGACTGGTTCCCAAAGCCTTCTCCAGTGGTTCCCTGGATGGGTCCTCGGACAGCTCACCTGTGGCTTCTCCTTCCAGCCCCAAAAGAAATGTCTTCACCAGACATCAGTCTTTCACCACAAAAATGGAAAAAAGCAAGCCCAACAGAGAAATTAAAAAACACTCCATGTCCTTCTCTTTCACCTCTCACAAGAGATTGCTGAGCAAAACCCCCAGTGTGGGGTCCAGGAAACCCCAAGGTTTTATAAGAGACCAAGTCACAAAGGGTTTCAAGAAGGAAAGCCAGCTGGCTGGCCGAATCATCCAGGAAAACAGGCCTGAACCCCACAGCCAAACAGCTCTGGGCTGCAGCTTGCGATCCCACACCCTCTCGGTTGATGATGTGTTCCAAATAGTTGATCAGGAAAGTTCTGGTAGCCCACCCTCCTATGAAGAGGCCATGCAGGCATCTCCACTCGTGGCCTATGGGGGCCAGACTGTGGCGAGCATGAGGGCGAGAATGCTCTCCCAGGACTCCATTCTGCCCCCTCTTCTACCTGTTCCCCACACAGGGGACTCAAGACACAGGGGCAGAGAAGGACTGCTTCATGAGCATAGACTCTCTCCCCTGACGGAGCGATGGAAACAGAGCAGGACTGTCAGTGCTTCCATGGAAACCCTAAGGCATGTGACTGTTCCGGGGAGGTCTGAGCTGCACGGACTGAGGACCACGTCTGAGTCTCTGCAAAAGAACAAGCAGGACTGTCTGATGCGCCGATGCAGCCAGCCAGTCTTTGAGTTGGACCAACTCCTATATGCTAAAGAATCCTACATCTAGGAGCGGGGTGCTATACACCATGCCACAGCCTGTGCTGTCTCTGGAAAACATGGGACTCCATAGAGAACTGCTTTCCGAATCTGTTTTAAAAGGTTATGAATAAGCTCTTTAGAAAGTTGTGTATGGCCCTCCCTCAGTGAGGAAGCTACACCATGGCCATGGAGCATGGGCACATCAGCTAGTGTCTGTGTGTACCTGGATTTGTGCAATACGTAACACATGTACTTATGTATTATAGACAAGGTGTTAGGTGCCAAGAACGTCTACATAAATCCCTGCATACATTTGTGTACTTGCGGTCAAGTGTACCTGCTGGTGCACTTTTTTGTTGGTTAGTGTTTAGCAATCTTCTTTGCTTTTTTAATGTCGCCTTAAATGCCATGCCAATTTTCACGTTTTCCACAAACTCTGTTTAGGGAGACATGCTTAAATCTCTGGTACAAGTTTACTCTACTAAGTAGCCTTGTGATAACTTATCACCACAGTATGGGAAAGAAACAGACCACAAGGCACAGAGTTCAGTGTTCAGAGTTATCCCTGCATTATAAACTCCAAAGAAAAGAAACTATTAAAAATACTTAGATGTGTATTTTTAATCATCTAATTAAATCTGGGTAGATTAGTGAGATGTATTACATCAATATTAACTCATTTATAGCACTTTGAGTTTCTTTAGAGTTCAATGATGTCTTATCCAGTCATGTGGAGATAAATGATTTTCTATGCATTGGGGGACAACTATAAAGCTTCAATGTAATTTCACTACAATAAATTGCCTTCCTTATTTGAAAGTTAAATGTTTATTCTTTACTAATATGTTACTTCCTTTTGCTCTGTTAATAAAAAGTCACCAAGAAAATCATTCCCACATTGGTTCGTTCAACAAGCATTTATTGAATATGTATTCACTATTCCAGATTAATAGCAAGGCCAAGGATCTTGTGTTTAGGAAGAGACAGTCCCAGTTCCCTAGAAGTTTGCAAACCATTAAAAGGACCCACTTTAAGCCATTTTTTTGGCAAGCAGTCATTTTGAAGCCAGAAAAAAAATACTATGCAAATATAGGGTAACATATCAAATGTAATATATCTCATTTCTAGTGAATTAAACTTCTCAACACTTTTACATATCTTAGTTTTATGATGCTCAGTTTGCTTGATTATTAGCAAACATAATGGTAAAATGTTTGTCATATATTAGAATTTTACTGCCCGCTGGGCTTGGTGGCTCAGCCTGTAATCCTGTGCTTTGGGAGGCTGAGGTGAGTGGATTG